GAGATGGAAGTCATCCTGTGCTCTGTTGACGTTTCCAGCACAGGAAGCAACTCGTCCACAGACAAAGTTCATTCCATCCAGCGGTCGACCCCAAAAACGCATTCGTCAATTTTACAGCCCGTCCTCCAAACAAAGATCCAAAAGTGATTCCATGCACCCGCCAAACCCCCTGTTTATGAATGAAAAACGGTTTACACACGACTCACAACTGCTGACGTTCGAACACTTCCGGAACAAGTGCTTCACTGACGAATTTTGTTCGAATCACAACGCTGTAAATGCTTCACCCACGTACTAAAACTACAAATAATCGCCAACAGAACCTAAACACCTAACCTAACCTAACCTATGTCTATATATACACAATATGCTAATATATTATAATATTAATTTATACTTGAGAAAATTCCCTTTTTGAATGAACAGCATGTTAAAATTTATGAATGCGTCTGTGGGGTTGACCGCTGGATGTAATGGACTTGAGTCGAGGACGGGTTGAATTTTAATATGCTGTTCATTCAAAACAGGAATTTTCGCAAATACAAATTAATATTATATTAGCATACTGTGCATGTTTAGGCATTGGTTAGATTAGGTGTTTAGGTTCTGTTGGCGATTATTTGTATTTGTAGTACGTGGATGAAGCATTTACAGCGTTGTGGTTCGAACAGAGGTCGTCAGTGAAGCACTTGTTCCGGAAGTGTTCGGACGTCATCAGTTGTGAGTCGTGTGTAAACCGTTTTTCATTCATAAACAGGGGGTTTGGCGGCTGGATGGAATGCCTTTGCTTATGAGGACAAACAGAAAGACTAGGCTGTTCAGCTGAGTGGCGGCAGAATAGGAATAAAAAAAAATCGGAAAATCTTCTAATAATTGTCATGTACAAAATAGTTTGTGAGAGGGGGGGGGAGATACTCGCAATTAATGGTGAATATAATTTCTTAATATATTTATAATATATAATTTCGAATATAATTGGCTTTAGGCATTGTATGTACTAGCTCTATCTATAAATCTATCAAATTTTGTAAAATCTCTTGTATGTATGTATGTACCTTACCTGAATAAACATTTATTTATTTTACCCTGTCGTAGCTCAGTCGATTAAGGCAGTGTCTGGGATGCTCCCAGACGCAGGTTCGAATCCTCGTCACTGCCCTTGTGGATTTGTTCATTTGTTTATTATATATTATTTATATTAATTATTATAGACGTGCAAATTGAAAATTGAGGCTAACCCCATAACGAGTAGATGTGCTTTGCATACTCTCCCAGTGGTGATAGATGATGAGACATCGTTAAAGCGAGCGAAAGGTTGAAGGTTGAACTTGTAGACAAGTTTTGACGGATAGGAGGTTGACTGGTTGTGCGAATGGGGGATAGGTAAGGGTGGAGTAGTGTGGTTGAGTAAAATAATGGGGTGGGCTAATTATGCCAAAATTTCTGTGCTTTTTAGAAAGGGTTTTCGCTTGGTTCTGGTACAGGCACCTCAGGCTGGTAGTGAAGAGGCAGACGCAGTAGCAACATCTGCCGTTGTTGTTTAAGATTCGCTACTGGGAACAAAAAGTTCCAAGTAGCACGGGCTATGGTGAGCCCGTAGTAAACTTACCTGGCACAGGAGCGGGGCTGTAACTGTGAACATCTGCCATACGGAACCCGTTATCTACAATGATCCAGTTTCTCGTGTGTATCTGTGCTGGGAGATGCGATGGCACTGAGGCTCCCTACAAGCTGAGAGACGTAACGGAACTGGCCAGTCCACAGACATGCAAAAAACTGCCTAAGAGTAAGACGCTTGCTTCACCATGGACACGTACTAGCTTAATAAGGAGATAACCAATGTGATTGATGAAGATTAAGCCACCCAAGAGGTGGCACGGGCATGAATAGCCCGTAAGTGGTAGATTTTTTGGAGTGAATGTGGGCTTTGGTCGTGAACCCAATGATGTGTGTGACTTGATATATTGTTATACGTGGGGTAGTCTCATACACCACTTACTCTTGGAGTAAGATACGACAATAACAATTGCAGGAGTATAGACTACATTCGATGGGTATTCATATCGTCCTGCCCAGCAATATTCGTAATTGTTCGCTTGGGATAGTAAGCACACCTTGCGCTCAAGTGACACCATATACCGTAAATTATGCTCACTAATACTTGAGCAGCGGATGTTCATTATATTATATGGTTCGTTCATTCGTACCTCGTTGGTACGGTCTCTGGGAAAATGACCCATCACGCTTGGTGACTGGTGGTATTAACATACATCATACAGTGTTGTATAATGGAAGGTACACTTAGTTAAGAATGGTGTACCATGTATTGCTGTAAACGACGTCACAATATAATGTTATGACTGGTCAACTCTAAATATCGTCCATGACACAGTTCAGCATACCTTAGCCCAGGAGGGCGAAAGTCAGTCAGTATGGAACATTCTACAATATAATGTTCAAGAGAGTGCATGTTTTCTCTTTCACAAAGTTGACACATTGTGTACTCGACATTTGGGTTTTGAGAAAGCTGCCAGATACGTCTATATCCCAGGCGTATTCTGGCCACTATAACATCACATTGCCGGGTTCTTGTTCTATTAGTCCCATATGTGAATGTCTCCTCACGATATCTATCATAATATTTAATGCTACAACTTTTCGAAAATTGCCCATGACAAAATGCACAAATCTCACAAAATATTTTGTCACTGCAACATATAACATAGTTACTGAACTGGCATGTAGTGACTATAAAAAATGTCACATTGCCAGAATTCAGTTTATCGCGCTGTAAGACCTCAACACTTGTGAACGTGTTGTCGGCGCCAGCATCCTGGTGCGTGGTGACCGTCTGTGGGGGGGGAGATGGGGTGCACAGGACGGGTGTAGAGGATATGGAAAATGTTGTTAGTGGAAGGGGTGGGGGTAGAGAATGGGAGAGAATGTGTACAGGAGGTGCTAGAGGGAGGCTGAGAACGGATAGGTAGGGTAGGGGAGGCACGGGAATAAGGTAAAGAAGTGGTGAAATAAAGAGTAGGAGCCGGTCGGCCGAGCGGACAGCACGCTGGACTTGTGATCCTGTGGTCCCGGGTTCGATCCCGTACGCCGGCGAGAAACAATGGGCAGAGTTTCTTTCACCCTATGCCCCTGTTACCTAGCAGTAAAATAGGTACCTGGGTGTCAGCTGTCACGGGCTGCTTCCTGGGGGTGGAGGCCTGGTCGAGGACCGGGCCGCGGGGACACTAAAGCCCCGAAATCATCTTAAGATAACCTCAAGATAGGAGGCGAGAGGATCATCCTCGGTCACCAGGACCTCCACACAAGTGTGGATCTAACACCATTACGTCCAGTCACCGCATAAAGTTGTGGTTGTTTTAGATTCAGCTACTTGGAACAAAAGACCCAAGTAGCACGGGCTATGGTGAGCCCGGAGTGGACTTGTCTTCCATAACATAAAGTCTTCCCCATTCCTTTCATATCTCTCATAATTAGTCATTTCTCTCATCCACTACTTTGGTGTCAGGTCACCTGCCTCCTAGTCTTGTTAAGCCAGTCAGGTCCTCTCTCGCTTCCACACTCGCGGACACTCTAATCAAGAACACTTTCTTGGAATGTTGTCTACCATTGGGTAATGGAGAATGACTGGCAGAAAGTTGAATGTTGGGTAAGTGGCCCGTACGTTTTTAACTTTCTAATGTTATACTGAAATGTCTGGTGTTGGGTTAATTGGTAATGATTGGGTTGGCACAGTGGTTTTGTCGTTAGTAGTGGCAACTAGGCCTTCGTGGCTTGTTCGTGAAGGCCCATATTTAGAGCCTAGTCTTCTGGTGGAAGGGGGGAGGGAACTATGAGGAGAAAGCGCCAAGCCATTACGACTATATAGCACTGGGAAGGGGTTAGGATAAGGATTTGGGATGAGACGGGGGAAGGAATGGTGCCCAATCACTTTGGACGGTCGTTGAACGCCGACCTGCATGAAGTGAGACCGTTGCTCTACCGTCCAGTCCAAGTGGTTGGGCCACTTGGACCGTCTTCCATAAACACGTGTTAGTGACCAACCCCAGGAAGGAATGGGTGTGAGAGGCCCCTACCTAGATCGTTTAAGATCTATTGTGCATCGCGAAACACGGAATACGACTGATTGATTGATGAAGATTAAACCACCCAAGAGGTTGCACGGGCATGAATAGCCCGTAAGTGGTAGAATTTTTTGGAGAGCATGTGATACAGATTACGACACTCGGTCGCTATATATAGCGGTGAGGCAATACTTGTACATGACTCGTCTTGTACGGTAGAAGGGGGAGGGTTGAGGGGTAGACGCGACGTATCAGCCACGACGGGGGGGGGGGGGGGTGAGAGACCCGGACGGAAAGGAAGTCGTAAAAGACACGTAGGTTACTAAAGTCTCAGACTTTAGGGGAATGGTGTGTGTAAGGGGCGTAGCGCAGGCAGTGTACAAGAACCTGTTACAGCAGTGATCAGAATTACATTTCACCTTTGTGAATGTACATTAATGACACTATGTAAAAGACACATCTAACACTTCATGTAGGGCATACGTAAATCTGTGTATCTATGTATTTACGTATGTAGGTTAGCTTAGCATTTTAAAAGCACCGAATCACCTTCTGTGGTTGAGTGTTCAATAAACCCTTGAACTATATGTTTAACACTTCTCTAACCCTGTCCATGGAGGACAGAAGAAAATGTATATATGCTGGTTAGCATTGTAAATGTGTGGCCACGTCTGTGGTAGAAAAATACTAATAATAAAAAAAAAGCAGTAAGAGATTCACTCCCCCAAATATCTACCACTTACGGGCTATTCATGCCCGTGCCACCTGTTGGGTGACTTAATCTTCACGAATCACTCAATCAATCAAAAGAGAAAGGTGCCGTTACAGGGCGAGAGTGACCCTACCCATCGTAGGCTGGCACTGTGGCCACTAAACCCCATGCTGAGGGTATATATAACCAAGTAGCAGGTGCTTGTATACCTGGTGGTGTATGCAGGGCGTGAAAGATGTCCTCCGGCAGTACGGCAGTAAATACGAGAGCAGTTTCCCTCAAAGGCCTGGGAAAGATAAACAAAGTCAAGGACAACATATCCGCTTCGGAAGGTGACGTTGTTGTGAGGGCGTTGCCACACTCTTCTGGTTAGTACTGCAAGGATGGCGTCACGGTGCGTGTTCTCTCTCTGTCTCTGTGTCTCTCTGCCTCTCTGTCTCTCTGTGCTGCGGCTGCGGCAAATGCACCTTACGACACTGGAAGACAGAAGAGTAAGGGGAGACATGATCACTACCTACAAAATCCTCAGGGGAATCGACAGGGTAGATAAAGATAAACTATTCAGCACGGATAGTACGCGAACAAGGGGACACAGGTGGAAACTTGAGTTCCCACATGAGCCACAGGGACATTAGAAAGAACTTTTTCAGTGTCAGAGTAATTAACAGGTGGAATGCATTAGGAAGTGATGTGGTGGAGGTTGACTCCATACACAGTTTCAAGTGTAGATATGATAGAGCCCAGTAGGCTCAGGAATCTGTACACCAGTTGACTGACGGTTGAGAGGCGGGACCAAAGAGCCAGAGCTCAATCTTGTTAACCTTGTATTTATTATTTTTATGGAGACTGGAAAATATGAAGGTAAAAATCAAACTTAAACATTCCTAGGCCTAGTGTAGCACTTATTTGACCTAAGATTGCATGCATTAGGCCTATGGTTGCTTGGAGAGGTACTGAGGTTAGGCTCTATATTTTGCGGTTAGAAAAAAATTTAATTTGGTCAAATTCAACAATACCAAATTAAAGTTTCTGGTGGACCATCACCACATATTGGAACTTTACGTCAAATTGTTACTGTAAGTACATTCCTTTTAGGAGGTTGGGTTGCAGCACTCTTTTGGGCCGTCCCAGCTGGTTAGCTCCGGTGTGGTGTGTGTGTGGGGGGGGGGGGGTGTGGTAGCCTAGCCAAGCAACATCGGAGTGACAGTAAAACTTTGCTAAACATATCGCGTAATAACCTAATTTGTAATACATGTTTGGTGTAGTGACGTGAGGTCAGGGCTCATTGTGGGCGTGTGGGGCAGGGGGGGGGGGGGGAAGGCTCTAGTCCTTAACGTATCTGAGCTCTCCCTGATCCCCCCCCCCCTCCCCCATGAAAGTCGGCTCCTGTGAATAGCTAACACGGCATTTAGACGCGTTAATGCATTTGCAGAGATTATAAAACTGCAGGTGTGTGTGTGCCTGTGAGCTTATCTGTGATGGTGATATTTCAGCTGCTAGGAGCGTATTGCGTAGCGTCGAGGGTGGTAAGCACACCTTCAGAGGTTCATGAATATAGTAAACTATCAGGAGGTTTTTGGGTTGTCTGGCTACTCTGGGTGTGATCCACAGTAACTGCGTCAGTCAAGGGTATTCCTGTGCCGCCTCCACCCACCAGTACATGGATTTATGCCCTGTTGATAAGAGTGGGATTCCCAGAGCAGGCGAGTTGCGCCGGCGGCTTGACCTGGGCCGGAGGGAAGCGAAGGAGTCGTTGGCCGATGGCTCTTTGTCGCCGATATCCTGTTGGACATGCCGCAGGTCCCTTACGCAGATCCTGTGCCAGACGTCAGCCGGGGATATTACGCCGTTCCTGCCTTAACGGTATCTAGGGCAGGGCGCCGGACCTGCGTCGTGTGTAATGAACCTTCTGCCACCATGTTAGGCTACCTGGTGGGCCATGGCCAGGTGGTGGGTACTGGCCCAGTCTCCTCCAGCAACCCCTTGACCTGGGGTTATACAACATGACTTTACATTACCAAAGGCCCCCCCCCCACCCCCCTGAAACTCTCCTCCATAAATACTGTCACAAGCCTCTGCTCTTCCACCGCTGTCGATATTTACGACGCATTCTTCCTCCCTCTCACTCCCTGGACGTGTTGACACCAGTGGGTGTCAAGGCGGCACCAGCCCAGATCGCTCAACTTGCAACTCAGGTCAACACTATTCTCGGCTAGCAATGATTGATTGATTGATGCATATTAAACCACCACAAGAGGCGGCACGGGCATGAGTAGCCCATAAGTGGTAGATGGTTAGAGTGAAAGTGATCTTTGGTGGTGAAAGGATATAGACAGTGTGCTGAGCGCGCATTTAAACCGTCAGTCCTTACTAATGTGGCTGCTATCGCGGGGGAGGACACTACTTGACAGTATTTATGAGCGTGTCCAGCTGGGCCAGGAATGTCGACGCGACACACTACAGGTAGTGTCGACACGCCAGGTGTCGCCTCCATACTGTCACACACGTGTCCACTCCTACACGCTAAAATCTAAAAGTTATAATAGTCGAGCTGCCCTTAGCCCTACCATTTACAACGGCCGATCGCCAAATGTATTAATATAGATTCTTTGTCTGTTTATAAACTGTAGGCTGTTCGATAAGTGTATTTAGGAGGATCTAGTAGAGAGGAAGGAGGTAATCAGGCAGGTGAAGTACACATATAGTCTAATAGGTTAGGTGGTACCGTTGTATAGGCAGCACTTGGCATGGCCCAGTGGGAGGACCACACGGCCGAGGTCAGGAAGTTTGAGGTGGGAAGTAGAATGTTTGTGTTACTGCCCATAAAAGGGGCCTCAGTGTGTGGTGAGTCTATGAGCCATATATGGACGACGCCACCAACCGGAGAGTTAAATCAAATGTTTAGGATAACAGTGCCCTGTAAGGAGACACAGTTCTCTCAGGTGAATGTGAAGCAAGATTTTGAGGAGACAGCTAGGCCGACTGTACTGTGTGCATTGTACCAGGGGCCAGATTCACGAAGAAGTTACGCAAGTACTTATGAACCTGTCCATCTTAATCTTTGGCGGTTTTGTTTACAATTATTAAACAGTTAATGAGTTCCGAAGCACCAGGAGGCTGTTTATAACAATAACAATAGTTGATTGGCAAGTTTTAATGCTTGTATACTGTTTAATAAATGTAACCAAAGCCGTCAAAGATTGAGGAAAGATGTACACGTTCGTAAGTACTTGCCTAACTGCTTCGTGAATCTGGCCCCAGACTCGGAGGCCGAGGAAGGCGATGACAGGCCTTAGCTCAAGCTGCTAAGCTGACACTTGGTTTGGAGAATAGTGAGAAAAACCTTTTAGAGAACCTTGATCTTACTTACGGCCGACAAGCCTACTATTGCAAGTTAAGGCACTAAAGTTTCTTATCCCCACTGTGGAGGTGGGGTCCCGTGATTGTTTCAGACGTGGGTTGGACACATATGAGTATGATTGGGTGGTTATAAATAGGAGCTGCCTCGTGTGGGCCAATAGGCATTGTGCTATTACGTTTATTCTTATGTTCTTATCCGGTTAAACAAGGTTCATAATGTGTAAAGTCAATCATGCAAGAGGTGCCACACCAGTTACAATATGACGTGAATGAGGGGGACGACAAGTCAACCGGGGATTTTGGGTTCATGTTCTATCCCGACCACCGGAAAGTGACTGGCAGTAACGTTCTGGACTCATGTTCACCTTCAACTTGGTATTAATGCTGGTATCGATCAGATGAACAGTACGAAGACCGGATACTATGGACAGAAGGAACGCAAGTTTATCACAAACGTGTCATTCCGGATTAGATATCCCTGTACTGTCATTGTGTCCGGTAAGGCACACAGGAGAGTTGGTCCCAATGGCTGAAGAAGACGGTCATGCAATATATATCAATATCAATCGACGATATTACTGTTTTCACCGATTATACCAAATTAAGAGAACTTTGGGTACACTGTAGAGGAAGGGAAGGCGGCACTTGTCAAAACATTTTTCACCTGTTGTGCAAGACTTCCAAAACGAGTACCAGGAAATAAGTGTTAACATATCTAGAACTGACACCCAGGCCGCGCAGCTGACACTCAAGCCAGATGTCAGAGGTGTGGGTGTCAGGTATGTGGGTTAGGTGACAACTCTGCAATTACAAACAAATCATCGGCCACGTTATAGTGAATCGTCGTCAGCATATTTAGATATGATCGGATATAACCCAAGATTATGCAAGAGGTTTACGACAGAGGGAGAGAATTATCAGGAGGGAAGAAAGCGCCGAGCCATTACGACTCTATAGTATAGTCTACACACACACTTGGGTAGTATGCATCCGTCAGTCTCGGGAGGCTATGGAGTGGCGCTCTGGTTTTCGGTCCAGGGCGCAAAGTCAGGGTAGGTAGATACGGGAGAGAAGCTGTCACCCATGCAGCAGTTCTCTTTCCCCCCCCCCCCCCCCTTTCTCTCCACGGCGCCCAAAGTCTTCAATTATTGTCGAGGGAAATGGTTTAGTTTTGGGCGACACAATGCCACGAATCGTTCAGGGACCAGCTGGGTTGTGTGTGTGTGTGTGTGGGGGGGGGGGGGGGGTTGTGTGAGTGTATGTGGGGGTTGTGTGAGTGTATGTGGGGGTTGTGTGAGTGTATGTGGGGGGTTGTGTGAGTGTATGTGGGGGGTTGTGTGAGTGTATGTGGGGGGTTGTGTGAGTGTATGTGGGGGGTTGTGTGAGTGTATGTGGGGGGTTGTGTGAGTGTATGTGGGGGTTGTGTGAGTGTATGTGGGGGGTTGTGTGAGTGTATGTGGGGGATTGTGTGTGTGTGGGGGGGGGGTGTGTGAGTGTATGTGGGGGGTTGTGTGAGTGTGTGACAATCCACCCATCTAACTCTGTCCAAATTATTTATGGCCATTCTACGTTATGTCATAGAGAGTGGTGGGTGGAGGCACACAGTGGAGATGACCTCTTTCAGTACCATCCCATATCTCTAGCGGTACTGATACAAACTATCCCATGCTTCTAAAAGGATGCTACTTATTGGTAATTTACACCCCAATATTTACTATAAGTTGTGAAAGTTGACTTTTGTATTATTGAAATTGGACAAACCAGATTTTTTTTATTTTTTTAAACAGCCACATAAGACCTAACTTTAACCGAATACCCGTTATTTTGGGGCTAATAGAGTAAATATATGCAATACTAGTAGGGACTGACAGCTGAGTGGACAGCGCTTCGGATTCGTAGTCCTGAGGTTCCAGGTTCGACCCCCGGTGGAGGCGGAAACAAATGGGCAGTTTCTTCCATCTTGATGCGCCTGTTACCTAGCAGTAAATAGGTACTTGGAAGTTAGACAGCTGCTACGGGCTGCTTCCTAGGAAGGGGGGGGGGTGTAACAAAAA